AGCTCACGCCCCAGACTCGTTGGTGCGGCTCCCCTTTCCCTCTTCCAGACGACCAATGACTTGGTGGTTCCCCTGCTTTTTGCAGCTTCCCCCTTATGCTGACAAGCCAAAATGCCCCCCGAAGTCCAAATCGCTGGCAGTGAGAGCGCAAAGCTGCCACTGGCCGGTATTGTTAATGCTGCTTTGGGGTTTGGATGCTGCTCTCAGCACCCTGCTGGTGCTCAGCTCCCGGGGCACGCATCCTGCAGTTTTAAAACGGGGTCAGCCAGTGGGGATCAGGTGCTCCAAGGATGGCAAGGCCCTTTCTCTTCCTCCTTTGCCCAACACTCACCTGAAAGTCAATATTACCGTTCGAAGTTTATCAGGATAACGCAAAGGGCCATCCAACGTGCCACGCTTTGGAGATCGGCAGATCTCTTCATCAGGTGGGCTCACAAGGTGGATGGAGAAGAAGGGGGGAGGAAGGACCTGTCCCCTTGTATCCTCTCTACTCCCCAGCAGCCTGCTTGCCTGGTTGAGGAACTGGGAGCTCCTGGAAGCCTGCACTTCTTGCCGGCTTTTCGGCTGGCCCGAGAAAGGTATTTCCCTCTGCACGGGCCCTGTGAGCTGCACGGCCGGGGCCGGGGGCACGCCTGCACGCTCACGCTTCCTGCGGGGCTCGGCTGCACACACGGACACGCGCTTCCGGAGGGCGGTTCAGTGGAACCACTTCTGACATTTTCTGGAGAAGCTCCCTCGCATTCCACTGGTAAACACAGGAAGGGCTTTGCCCACTTCCCCTTCACGCGGGAGGCCGTCCACGGGACGAGCGGTGTGCTGAGCGGGACGGCCCCGGGGAGCCCTTCCCGGACCAGATGAGATGGAGCAGCGCAGCCTGTTCGACAAGCGAAGCCCCGAGCCCCACACCGCTGGGTGTCCTCGCCGGCTGCCCCACTTCTGCAGCGTGGCGCGGGTGGGCTGAGGAGCACGTGCATCCTCTGCACGGAAACCTCCCGGTCCAGCTGTGCAAAGCTGCCGAAAGCTGGGCAGAGGGTGCCCCCCAGGCTGGCACCCGCCCCCCTTGCCCAGGCCTTCGCGTCTCTTGTGTGCTCGCGCCTCTTCCGACACCAGGGCCGATGACGTTCCAGCCTGGCAGGGCCACTGCCGTTTCCCCGACGGTGCTGCTGAGCAGCTGGGAATAAGCGCAATACTCCTCCAAATCCCTCCAACACATTCAGGGCCAGGCAGATGCTTTTTGCTCCCAAAACTGACTTTGCCCGGCAGATTCAGGGCAGGGCTGTGTCTGATACCCCTCCGGACGGGGAGGTGGAGGCCGCCTGGGCCCCCTCGCGACAAGGACCCAGGCCTGCATGTGGCTGCAAGACGGAGCTCGGCCAGGCTGGCCCCCGGCTGGACGGGGGCTCGCGGGGCTGTGGTCCCAAGGCGCCAGGGCGCTTCTCCCCGGACGTGCTGGCAGGGCCGAGTCCAAGGAGCTGGCCTCGCGCTGCCAGGCCGGGGCAGCTGGAGAGAGCACGGCGAGCAGTGAGCGAGGGGCAGGTGTCTGGCATCTCCCCTCCCCTGCCCCTTCCAGATCGGTCGCTCGCTTCTGGAGCCTGTGTGGCACTATTTCGGGGCGGCAACGGCGGCTGAGGGGGCTTGAGGGAGGAGGCCGGGCGGCCAGGTGATTGCATAAGCCAGCGACACGCCAGAAGCTCGCGAAGCTCCCCCAAGCACAGCCCGTCTGCAACGCCGATCCGTGCCTCCGGCCTCCTGCCCGCCTCGTGCTTGCTTTTAGTGTCCTCTTGGATTGATTTTTTTAGAAACAAGTGCTGCATTTTGCTCGTTCTCTTTTGCTTTTTCTGGTAAAAAGAGTTGGTTCTGGCAGCCGGCCGGCTGGAAAGGAAGACAGGAGAGGGACCCGGGGCCAGCCGCCTCCGTGCTTTTCGATTGTGCAATCTCACAGCTGCAGGGGGGGGAGGGGGGGCAGGGCGGCCAGAGCGAGGGAGGGGAGTCCGGCGAGTTCCCCTTTCAAGTGGCTGCTGTATGTTCCTTAAGTGGCCGCGCTAATGGAAATGGGGCCAAGGGGAGGGAAGCGGGGCAGGGAGCCCCTGCAAAGAGCCCCGGAGCGGACGGGAGGGATGCCAGGTCGTGCCCTTGCGTGTGCGCAGCCCTGAGCGGGACGAGGGGGTAGCCTGAAGAGCGCGCAAAACTCCGGGGGGTGGCCCCCGGGGCCCGGTGTGGCGGGGCCACAGGGCATGCCGACCCCCCCGCCACTCCCGTTGAGAGCCTTACTGGAAGGCTCATCTCTGTCCTCTGCGTTGAAAAGTGGTCCTCGCGCTGCCTCTGCGTCACTCTCGCCTCGGTGGGCTTCCGAAGCGATGCTCCGGCCGAGTGCCAGGAGGGCTGAGCCCGTCAAGCAAAGCCGGACAAGTGGGAAGGCGCGTGCCCGGCCCTCGAGCGACGAGGCACCGCAGGACTTGGGAGAAGCACCAAAAAGGCACTCGGTGCTGCAGGATTCAGGAGGCTTTGGGGGGGGGGCTTGCTAGAAACCTGAGATTCAGCGGCGGAGCCTGGTGCAGAAGGCCACACGGGTCGGGTGTGCTCTGAGAATTGCGGGACTCCTGAGCCCAGGAGTTTTGTTTCAAGAACCAGAACTACGTGCAACACCCGCCCCGGCCTCCCTTCACCCTTCTAGCATGATTTAGTGGGTGTGTGGTGAAAGAAGCAGCATTTTTAAAGGTTGGTGGTTTTAAACAAACGAGGTCGGAAATCGTTGCCGATCTACCGCAAGTCGCCCAAAGGCCTGAATCTGGGATGTGCCCCCACACTCTGGAAACCCAAGACATGAGGATTAGCAAGTAGGGGAGAATCTCGGGGGGGGGGGGGGGCAGGATTACCAACCCCTTGGAAAAGCTCTTTAGGAAAAGAGCCCAAAGGCAGGGGGCTCTTCCCAGAGGGAGGGGATGGGTTTGGGGGCCACGGAGTGCCAAGCGGCTGTTGGGACACCAAAAACCGGACGGGGCAAGAAAACGGCCTGGCTGGGATTGGGAGCACTGCAATGTTTTGCCGCGGTTCCCACGGGGCAGCAGCGCTTGGGGTCTCCCTGTGCAGGGGCAGCCTGCCTTTGAGCGCCGGGCACGGGGCAGGGGGCGGCCACAGGGCCGGGCCGTCGCTTCGGTGGCGTGCCGGAAGCAGCCTGTCCTCTGCTGCCACGGGATCCGGAGGGACGTTTGGCCCCGTCCGTGGTCTTGTGAGTGTCCCTTTCGTCACGTCTGTGTTGTGCGTCCCTGGATGATTCTGGCTAACACACATGCCGGAGCGAGCCCCTGGCATCTCTGTGAGCCTGGCGCTTGCGCCACTTCCGGAGCCTTCCCCCCTCCCTTCCTTCCTTCCCTCCCCTGGAGCTGTCCGGAGGGAACATCTGCAGCTCCTCCATCCTCTGCCAGCCTGCTGGTGGCGTCACGGAGGTTGAGCGATGCCCGACCCAGGAAAGTGACAGCTTGTTTGGGCAGCTTGGCGAGTGGCGTGCCGACCCCATGAGGCTGCCGGCTGGGTTCCTGCGGGGGGAGGGATGGAAAAACATGAAAGGAGGGAGCCTGGAAAAACCCAGTGGGGAGCTTGTTTTGCTTGCGCAAGCGTGCCCGGGCTGCCGTCTTCCTCGTCCTGTTGGTGGCCACAGCCCATGCGCTTCGCGTGTGCCCTGGGTAACCCCGCCTTCGCCCCAATCCTTTCTGTGCACGTCGCAGTGGTCCTTGTGTCTCCATCAGCTCTCGGGCCCTCATTGCCCAGTCTCCTCACTTCCTCCTTCCTCCTCTTTTATAGTTATTCAGAATTATTTTTTAGGCCTCCTTGAAAAGCAGAAGCTTCTCAATGTGGCCTGCAAGATTAAAGTAAGTACACACACCGAAAGCAGAAGTCACCAGCAAGGCAACTGTGGGAAGGCGGTGAAGCCTCGTGCTTCTCCAGAGCTTTCCTGACGGTCTGCTGAGAAAGGAGCCTTCAGTGGAAGCCGATTCTGGGGCCGCCACTGAAAAGGACCCGCATGGTGTTCCGCATCCTCGCCACCCTTTCGAAGCCTGGCAGTGCCACTGGAAAGGGATGCGAGAGAAGCACGGGCTCTTCAGCAGCGCAGGTGTGCTTCTGGCGCAGTGGAACAGATTCCGATTCCTCCTCCTGGATGTTCAGCGCTCAGTAACGGTGCACTGGGGCAGAGGATGCGCTGGGCACCCTCCCCAGTGGCTCGGGGGGAGACATGCCCGCCGTTCTCCCAGTGCGCTGCCGTAGCCTTTCACAAATCGGTGCCCTCCAGATGCGTCGGAGGCACAGCTGACCCTTCTTTCCGAGGCAGGCAAGAGATCTTCTCAGGGCACCCTTTTCCCGCCCTGCTGTCCTGCCATCAAGCGAAGAGGCCTGCTTTCTTCAGGCAAGGCTGAATTCGGCCTGTCAGTGGGGCTGCTGGTTTCAATGCTGCTTGGATTCCGCAGTTGTTACGCTTTGTTGTCCTTCAGGGGCTCTTTGCATTTTAGCCGAGTTGGCTTCCATCCGCTGCCTCGAGCACCCCTGTTTGGGCAGAAGCCCAGCCTGTGCCTCAGAGGAGCCAGGCCCAGCATCCCCAGCAAAGCCGGCGTCCGTGTTTCACACAAAGAAGCCGCCTTCCACCCGCTCTGCCTCCCGTGCCCCGTGCCTGCCGCTCAGCTCCCCGCCCTTCACCCTGGACATATTTGCCCCTCCTGGCCACAAGCATTTTGGCTGCCAGCCTGTGGAGAGGTGCAGGAAAAATATGCCAGTACAGCACCCACCTTGTTCGGCCCGTAATTGCCTGGCGAGAGCGGCAGACACACCCCTGCATCTTCCAGCAGCCCCCCCGGGGCTCTGGCGACATCCTCGCCCGCCCCCTGCGTCCAGGACCGCCTTGCAAGCCTCCCGGTCTGCCGTAGGCGGCAACGCCCTCAGCCCACCTGCCCCAGGTGTGTCCGGATCCAGCCCAGCCTCTGACGGTGTCTCTCTCTTCCTCCCCACAGCCTGCCTGCTCCGCTTCAACGGCCTCTCCCTGGTGTATCTGCTCTACCTCCTGCTCTTGCCATGGTTCCTGGGCCCCACGGAGCACAGCATCAAAGGTACGGTGTCCGCATTGTCCCAGGGTTGTTTTTCTGTGTAAGGAGAAGGAAACGGCCACTCCCAGTTTCAGGCGATCCAGAACGATGTGACTTTGGGCGGAAGGGTAAGTGGGATTGTCCTGCAACTTATGCGCCTATATCCTCACGTCCCATCCTTAATCGGCGGTTCAGAAAGTTGTTTCCTGCACGTGAGGAGTTGAGCCTCAAGCCACAACTGCTGGTGCGGCCGGGGAATTGTGTCGCGGTGCCCCTTTTGCAGGATGTTGCAGGACCCAGAAAACATGGAGGGTTCTGCGTGGAAGATGCTTGTGTCTGCAGCAGGGAGCCCGGGGGCTGAGTTTATTTTTGGAGGACCCTCGGAATATGGGAGAGGCCAGAGTGCATTCTGGGGGCAGTGCATTTTGGCCCAAAGCTCTTAGTACCAGTCACCCCCACCCCTTGGAAAGGCCCTTCAGCTTTTCAGAATGGGGGTGAAGCAGAGAAGCTGGGGAGACACCAAAGGGTCTGTGGTCAGGAGGAGGGCGGAGCCCAAGGGAAGGGGCGTGGCTGTCTGGGAAGCCCCCAAGAGCCAGTCTGGGACCCCGGCTGGGCTGGATTCGGCCATGAGCCTCAGGTTCAGCCCCCTGGTCTTTAGACCCACCGTGAGATTCTGTGGCTGAATGACAAAAGCGTCGTAAGCTGGCATCCACTGTGCACAAGCTTCTGTAAAAAACCCCACCTGGATCCAGGCGGTTTGGTCTTGCAGGTCCCAACAGCAGCGGCTATTACACCGCCGCCGCCACCACTGCATTTATATCCCACCCTTTTATTCTCACAACAACCCTGCGGGGTAGGTTAGACCGAGGGTGAGTGACTGGCCCAAAGCCACCCCAGTTGCAGTCGGGTCCTCAGAGCTTCCAGGCCAAGGGAAGACGGGAATCCAGATCTCCAGGTCCCCAGCCGGCGCTCGCGCCCCCACGCCACACCACGGCTCCTCGTTGCTGCCAGAAGGGGCAGAGGGAGCGTAAAGAAGCCCCGGGACTGCGTGGCACCCGTGGCAGGTGGGGCTACAAAAGTCCCCCAGCTTCTCATTTCCTGTCCTTCCTCGGTCCGCTGCCGCCTCCAGAGCGGAATGATGCGGCCGGGGGGCACACAGGCCCCTGTTTTCTGACCTCCCGCAGGCTCCCTCCTCCCTCGAAGAATTCGGGGCTGGTTTCCTTCCTGCTGGGCTGTCCCGGGGGGCTGCAGGACATGCCCTTCACCGGTGTTCAGCCACCAGCCTTGGCCAGGCACCGCGGCTGTCTCCGGTTTGTGATCGGGGGCGTAATTAACCCTTCCTGTTTGGAAGGAGCGCGCTGTTTTGCCAAGCCCTCTTCGGTAATCACTTCTGTGCAGGGTGGGGGCCTCCCCCCCCCCCAGCATGTGCCTGGCAATCTCCCATCTCAAACTGAAAAAGCCAAGCAGGGATTCATCGGCAGGGCAGGCCTTCAAAAACAACACGTATTTCACAAGAAGAATAAATATACATACATATGCACCATCTGTAAATATACAGATAGAACAAACATAAACACTCTGTAGACAAAGGACAACCTTTTCCTCACTCTCTTCTGGGCTGAGCTGGGCACCCTGCATTCTTCTGCAAAGAGGAATTGGGGGGCGGGGGGCTGAACCCCTCCGAAATCAAAGCACTGTCAGGTGGAAGCTGGCCCTTCGGGGTGCCTCAGGGCTGGCCAGCGAAGCGTCCCCTCCTGTGCACGAGAGGCAACCTGTTGTGGGAGCAACTGGGAGTTTTGCGGCGGTGGTGGGGAGCCCATGCAGGTCCCAGGCCTTGACCCAGAGGCAAACTTGGAGGCGCCCCCTCGCCTCTCTGGCGGCACGAGCCCCCGAGGGTGCAGCCAGCAGCCTGGCCGAAGCAGGGCACAGAGGGGGGCTCACCGTTTGGACGCGGGGGGGGGCTTCTCCTCCCAGCTTTGCCAAAAGGCTGTTCAGAGCTGAACTGCTCTGCCAACGGAGATAAACGAGCTGCATTTCAGGGGCCTGTCTTGAGTCTTGGGAGCCTGAAGGCAGCGGGAGCGGCTTGGTGCCCGGCACCTTCTGGGGGGCCCATCCCAGGCTGGAGGGAGCAGGTTGCAGACCCAGGTTTGGGGAGGGGGCGCTGCTGTGCACCTGCCCAGCCACGGGGGTCCCTGGATCCTGCGGGGTCTGTTCGGGGCCTCCTGCAGCAGGAGGGTGCTGCCCCCCACCCCCCCGTGGCACTCCCTGCCAGTTGAGGGAAGCAGGGCCTGCGTTGTCTTGCTTTCGGCGCCTTTTACTTTAAACAAACTTCTCCTGAGTGATCAGCCGGGCTTTTATTGGTTTACATTTGCCTCCTTGGATGTCAGACATTTTTATTCCATGCTTTTATTCTTTTTCCTCTTGCTATTGTCCACGTCGCAGCGATCTTGCTACATGTTCTCTTTGCTTTGTAAATAAATCTGTCCATCCATGCATTATATGAGATGAAGAAATATTCCACTTTTTAAAAAGAGGAGAGATTATTTCTCGACCTGCAACTTGGCAGGGGGGACTTGGTGAGGATTCCGTTCGGTGTGTGATTTGGCTGCCACAGGCTGTTCCCAAGACCCGGGATCAATCTCGGTGCAGCTTTGGAGATGAACCTGCTCTTGGCTGCTGATGAGGCCACTGTGTGGTGCGAGAATCACAAAACGCGGAACAATCCAGCGCTAGTTAATTAACATTTCCAGCAGAACATGTGCTCCACCCAGGTCAGTGTGACACTACCCCCCCCCCCCCCCCCCCCAAAAAGGCAGTCTACACTTAGGACCCCGCTGAAAGAAACAGAATTCTGTGAAACTCTGCGCGCTTGCCTGTTTTCCCGAGAATTGTTTGAACTGTCCAAAGAGCTTTGGCGATTGAGCAGTACAGAGATGGAGATGCTGCTCATGCTGATGATAATTTCACATCATTGGTTCTGCTTCCGCTGCCCAGAAGGGGAGAGAGAGGCAGTTAGTGTAGCGCTGCAGCCTCTTCCCTGGAAAATATCCCTTCTTGGTGGCTCCGGAAATTCCAAGCAGGCATCTGGCCTGCGACTTTCAGGTCTCTTTTTGGTGCTGAGTGAGGAACTGTAGAATCCTGTCCGTAAATGGAGGGGATTCCTCTGCACCAAGGCACGGGGAAGGAGGTCTTTCCGCACTCCCCTGAAGCTGGATTCCACGTGCCGCGCGGTGTCTCGGCCACTCTCCTTCTGTGCAGGATGACCAGCTCCAAATCCTGCCCATGCAGCTCGGCTCGAACTTTCCAGCAGCTTTCGAGGTGGAGGCAGCCAAGAAAGCTGCAGCGCACCTCCGGTTTGGAGTGGACGCAACCCTCCCACCTCTTTCCCAGAAAGGGCCCGTTCTCCGGCCCGGCCCGGCCCGTGCCCTGCGGCAGGGCCCCTTCCAGGCGAGCGGCAGAGAAAGCCGCTCATTTGGCCTGCCGCGACCGCGTGCGTGGGGACGCCGAGTGGCCCTTGGCACGTGAGCGGCCGCCAAGCTTTCTGCAGCGTCTCGGGGCAATGAGTCCCAGGCCGGCCGTTGGGAGGAATGCGCCCGGCCAGAGCTGGGGAGGGGTTGAGGCAGGGCTGGGCTCGGGCAGGGCTCCCGGACCAGGCCTGGGGTCATCCCAGCAAAAACCGGAGGCAGGCATTCCGGGCGTGCATAGGATGTGCAGAGGAAAGGCTGCGATTTCAACCTGCTGGGACTTTTTAGCTTAAGCAGCGAGCAAGGGTTGTGCGGGGTGTGGTGCAGCCCTGCGGTGAAATACCCGGTGCGGAAAACCCTGTGGGGCCGCCCCATGAGGCGGAGTGGTGGGGGATTCGGGAGAGGCTGACGGAGGGCTCCTTCCCACGGCACGGACTTCCCTGCCACACGATGGGGGGAGGGCCACCGACGGGGGGGCTGCAGAAGGACAAATCCATGGAGGAGAAGGCTGCGGAGTCCTGCACAGGCTTGCCCTCCCGTGAGGAAGGGTGGTCCCTGCGTTTCTTCCGTGGAAGCTCGGTGGTGTTTGACGCACCGCTGCCTCTTCTGCAGCCGCTTCAGCCCCTCCTCTGCGTTCGTGCTGTGGCTGAGCACACCTGCGTCCCGAGCAGGTCTGCTTAGGAGCAAGGGCAGGGGGTGCAGACCACCAGAGAGGCCCCCCTTTCTTCTCCGTCCCTTTTTATTTATTTATTTTTTATTTTTCAATTTATATCCTGCCTTTTTCCTACAAAGGGCTCCAGGCAGCTTACATCATTCTCCTCCTCCATCTTATCCCCACAACAACAACCCTGTGGGGTAGGTTGGGCTGAGAGTCTGTGACTGGCCCAAAGTCACCCAGTTGGCACCATGGCTGAGCGGGGACTAGAACCCAGATCGTCTGAGTCCCATTCCCATGCTCTTAACCTCTACACCACACTGGGGGTGTCTCTTCTGCTGTTCTGGGCAGGTTGGCAGTTCTCTTGTCTGGCCGCCGTTCCTTGGTGTGAAGCTGATGGTTTGGACTTGAGGCCAGGCGTTTTCCCCCTCGTGTGGCCGTCGCACTTCCGAGCGGCCTTGCTGCGCAAGAGGGGTCTGCCAGAAGGGAAGCGCAGAGGCTGACCCCTCTCACGAAGCCCCCGCTCTCTCCTCCTGTGCCAAACTGGTGTCTCAAATGAAAAGAACAGGAGGAGGGGTGGGCATGGGCCAGAGCCACGAGCGAGTGGCGGGAGACCCGAGGCCTGCCTTCGCCAACTGGGCACCCACACTTTGCATTGGGCCATGGTCCCATCACCCCCAGCCAACTTGGCAGTGGTGGGAGTTTTAGTCCAACACATCTGAGTGCACCAGCTTGGGAACGACGGGGGATTCAGGGGTAGGAAGGAACGGCGGAGCGGATTCTGAGCATCTCGCCTTTTCGCCAACAAGGCAGAACGTTGTGGGTGCCAGAAAACCTCTGTGGCATCAGCCAAAGAGGGATCAACACCATTGCGACACCATCCAGAAGCACTTTCAGAAATCCTGGTTCAAGCAAGCTTTGGGGCTTGGCTCTGTGTGCGATACCATTTTGAACCTGCTGTCATGGCGTGTGGGTTAGGCTGCTCCTCTGAGCTCCCTGAGCAAGTTCCATGGAATAAGGTTTAAATGTTAAAACAAATAAGTTCCAGGTTCAATCCATGGAATTTCTGGTTAGAGCAACAGGGATCTTGTGTTGCTAGCCTAACCTGGACAGAACTGCCAAGCTCAATTTCAATCTGATTCTCATTTTTCCACTGCTAGATTCATTCTTTTCCATTTCTGCTTCTGGCTGTGTGTTTTTTTTAACTCTGCATGAAAATTCATATATATTGGCATACACATTTTCCAAAACATGCACATTTTTCTCTGCATGTTTCAGATGTACGTATTTTTGCAAGCATTGTTTTTCTATGGAATGAAGGATGTTTTTGCTCATGTCCCTAAATATGCACGTTTTCAAATGTACACATCTTTGTGTGCAGGTCCCCCCCCCCCACCTTTTTTGAAAAATACATTGCATACGTTAGAAAAACACAACATCTTTCATCTAACTGTTTCAGCAGTTTGTGTTGCTGATTCAGAAAGCGCAGATTTGGTAAGATCACACTGAACTGCAAACATGACACATTCACCCTTAAGCACCTCTGTGGAAGATCTCACCAGGAAACAGCTGAGATCTTTGGACAGCCAGAATAATGGGCCATACTGACCTAGATAGCCCAGGGCCAATGCCAGCCCCCACCCCCGCACCCCCGCCTTTCTGGGGTTTTCTGCAAGGTCTGTCCCTTCCCCAACTGTCCCTCTTTCGGTGGCTTCCTAGCGTTATGGGTTCCCCCCACTGCCAAATTCTCACGGGTCAAAATACCTCTTGTCTGCTTCAGTTCCTGGTACAAAGAGGTTTAAACTAACTGCCCTGCCTCTTTTACCCACAACCACACGCACCTTGGGATGTGGTCCCCAAGAGCCTCTTGGTCTGGAACTTGGCCCTTGGACCAAGGGGGGCCGGCACCCCAGCACTGCCCGAGAAGGCAGCAGAACGCCTGAGGACAGACGGATGCCCTGCCCCGGACGGACAGTTCCCGTGTGGGGCTGCCCCACACTGTGCCTGCTGCCCCTCCAGCCCTGAACACATCCATCACTGGGACGCCCACTGACGGCTCTCCCTGTTCAACCTTTCACGGGGTTTGCTCTCATCTGAGCTAAAAGGCCAGCTTGCAGCGAGGGAGCATTCTGGGAAGGGCTCCTGCCCCCGCCGGCCGCTGCCCGGGCCCCCTCTGGGGACGCCAGATTGCTGAAGAAGAGTCTTCTTTCTCTCTCCACCCCCCCCCTCCGCAATCTCCTCCTTTTTTCCAGTCTGGAGAGGAAAATGTGAGCTTTCCCTCCACATTCCTCCCCCTCCCACCACCCACCCACTCCCCTGCAAGCCGAATCTCCAGATTTATGAGGTATTCGCGAGGCTCACGCGGCTGCGCATCTGGTGGAAGAGCTGAGTCGGGCCGCTCCTTGCAACGGCCCGGGGTGGAATTTTCCAGCCGCGGGCAAGGTGAGCCGCCAGGAAGCGAGGGGGTCCCGGCCAGGGCCGTGGCGTCGTCAAGTGCGGTTTTGGGCCTTGCGACGGCCACGGCGGTCCGGCCGTTCGCTCCTGGAGCAGCGTAAGCCCAGATGCCGTGAGGGCCGGCTCCGTTTCTGAATGCGCAGGCAGTTAGCGACGCCCGGAGGCATGTCGGGCCCCTGGACTGCGGCCACACGCGGCCGGTGCGCTGCGTTCTGCTCGGCCGGCTGCGAGGCTCGCCCTGCTTGGGAAATTAACCGGGGGGGGGGGGGCTGGGCTTGTGGGAAAAGCAACCAGGAGGCTTGAAGACTCACTGCGGCATGAGCTTGTATGAAGTGGAACGTGTTCTCTGCAGGTAGCAACGTCACATGCTATTAATGCTAACGAACAACTGTAATATTTTGTTGGTGTTGCTAGGAATGTAGCGTGATGGGGAGTGTTTTGGACTGGGGACCCGGGAGGTCCGGATTCTAGTTCCCACTGGGGTGAATGGGTGTCACTGGACCAGTGACCTAGTGTCAGAGTGACCTACCTCACAGGGTTGTTGTCGTGAGGATAAAACAGCGCGGAGAGGGATGTGGGTTCCTTGCGAGAGGAAAAGAGACAGGGTGCCAACAAGCCATTCTCCAAGAAAAGACTCACGGTGTCTTAGAACAAAATTAATGCACCCAAAGTTTGAAACAGTGAAAAGCAATTATCCACTAAAATATCATCCCTCCAGGAAACAGGAGAAAAATCAGAGACGACTGTAAAGAATGTGACTGATGCATCAGATGCTCAGCAGTAGAGGAAAGTCTCCACTGCCCTCGAGGAAAGCTGCAGGCACCAGGTCCCTCTGGCCACAGCATGCAGGAGGGGCCTGCCGGGCTGTCATGTGGAGCACGGCTGTCTGGGGCAGGCGATTTTGGAAGGCTTTTCCTCCATGGGGCCACCCTGAATCGGAGGCGACACGATGGCACGGGACGACCACTGCAGCCACAAACCTCAGATTACCCCCGTTTTGCTATTTGAATGGACCCCTCTTGCTGAACAAGCCCTCGTCCCCTTCGCTGCCGAAGCAAATACGATCAAACTTCCCGATAAGTTTTCCTTAAGCAATTCCGTGCCAGCAGCTCCCCCTGAAGTTCCTTCTCTGAAGAATGGAAGGTTTCAGGTCAGCTGTGCAGTGGCCGGGGAGCGAAACGTTCCCCCAGCAGCCCTGCCAGCCGCGGCCGCGTCTGGCACAACTGGCCCGGCCCGGCCCCGAGCGGCTCCCACGCCACAAGCCTGCTTCTCCTTAAGGCGCCCCCAGCCTGTTTTTTGCCAGCAGCAAAGTGGAAACTTAGAACAACTCTTGCTGAGTCGAACAGGATGTTCTCCTGTGCAGTCCAGTCCTGGCCCACCTCGTAAGGTTGTTGTGAGGGTACAATATAAGAAGGGGAATGGGTATGTTTCAAAGTGCAAGGCTGGGGTAAAGATCCCAGGTGGAACGTGCCTGCCGGGCGCTTCTGCAGCTCCGGAGAACTGCTAACACCGGCCCTCTGTCTCGGCCCACAGGTCACACGGGACGGCTCCTTCGCGCCCTCCTGGGGACCAGCGTTCTTTTCCTCCTGGCCCATCTGGTCTTCCAGATCTGCCTGCACACTGTACCCGGCCTGGACGAGCTGCTGGGACGCAACTGTGAGTGCCGGGTTTGTCTGCAGTTTGTGTGTTCTGAAGCGCACGCAACTGCTCCGTGCCCAGGGAGACGAGCAGAGCGCAGTGAGCGGATGCGCCAGGAAGGCAGGGCCATCGGCAGAGGGGTGGAGGGGAGGGCCACTGCCCTTGAGCCCTGTTGCGGGGACGGGGGCCTCTGCGCCGTGGCCCAGAAGGGGGGCTTGCAGGTGCTCAGTCCTTTCCCCCGTGCAGAGCCTTCCCCGCAGCTGCCGCAGGTCGCTCTGGAACGTCTGCTCTCCCTCCCCTCAAATGGGTGCTTGCTGCAGCGGGAAGGGCCTGGCAGAACATTTGTGGGACGTCCCGGCGGGCTTCCTCCTCCCCACTCCTCCCCTGGCGGCTGCCCCCGCTGTGGCCAGGCTTTTCCCACGCGGGCACCCGCCTTCACCCTGGAAGGAGCTTGGCCTGGGGACCTGCTGTGCTTTCAGCAGCAGCCAAAAGCACGTGCCAGTTCGCCTGGCGGCTGCGGCAGTTCCCGAGCCGCCTAAGATGCATCCTGGAGAGGCGCGCCACCCTGCCGCCCAGCCGAAGTCCCCTTGAAGGGGTGATGTCTTGGTGTTCGGCACGCAGCAGTGAAGCACGGCCCCCAGAAGGCCAGGGCTGGGCCATGCGAGGGGAGGTCCAGCCGCTCCTGGCACCAAGGGCTTCTTAGCACCCGCTTTCCTGACAACATGCAGGCTCTTGTGTGGCCAGAGCGTGCGGGCGTCTCAGGTTCTCCCTGGCGAGCCGCTGTCCGTCTCCCTGAAAGACGGTGGAATTGGAGGTGCCGGAGAAAGTTTCCTGCAGGAAAATCCAACCGGGAGGCTGGCTCACCTCTCCCGCTCCCCCCGATGCAGCATCTCCACCTGTCGGAAGCTCATTTGTCAACTGAGGAAATGGAATTTCTTCTGTCAAGCTGAAAGTTGTGAAATTAATTGCGTATCTGCTTTTTTTCTCCCTTTAATGGCTCTGATTGGGGGTGAAAAATCCTGAAATACGGCAGCTCCGAAGCGGGCTGTCAAACATCTTTCAACCTGGCGGCTGGATTCCATTCCAGGGAAGCCAAAATATCAGTCCGTTTGTGCTTCGGTCCCTTACGGCCAGTGGCTAAGCCTCAGGAGATGCATCTTAAACCGTTTAGAATGGGGGACATACTAACATCCATTTTAACATCGGTCCTTATTTAGGCCAAAGCAAAGGTCACAAAATACTGAGGAGCTCCAAAAACCTTGAATGTTTGTAGCCCCTTGAATGTTTCCACCGGACTGCTAGAACTAAACGCAGACTCCGTAGCTTGAATAGCAGCCGCTGCTTTCTGCTTCTCTGCTTATTTCCCTTCGTTTACCTTGACGAAGGACCTTGTAGTGCTCAAAAGCACACACCGACAACAGCCAGCCCTGCAAGGTAGTCCAGCGGCTCTATTCTCCTGCCAGGGGTATTAGGGTTAGTCGCACGGCAGGGAGCTGCCTCTCACGCTCTTCCTTGGGTGGCCACGTTTCTGCAGCTCTGTTGCCCGGGCCCGGGGCTGGACTGCGTGGCTCGGCTGGGCCAATGAACTCTGCCTTTCGGCCCGGAGCTGGACAGGATGCCCTCTGGTGTCGCTGATGTCTCCGGAGAGGGGTTGATTCAGAGGAAACTCAACACTGCTCGATACTCCTGCCCGGCTGTGGAGCAGCTGCCCTGAGCTTTCAGCACCCCCGGCTGCTTTAGCTGGCACGCCTTCCCAGGCCTGATGAGAAGCGCTTAGCTGGCTTCACAAACAGAACAAAAGGGAGAGCCTGGGTTAAGGTTGCTGCCCGGGGCTGGAGGGAAGGGACCTGCCTGTTGGCCCCCCCTGTGTTTGTGTCCACGCACACCAGCTTCTCTTCGGCAACCCTGAGAAGGAAGCCCCGAGCAATTCCGTGGGGTTTGCTTGCCAGTGATAAAACATGTTCAGCTTTCCAGAGATAACCAGACACCCCCCTCTCCTTAAAGCAACAACTTTTTTGGCTTAGCTGGTAAAACGTTCACAAAGAGCAAGCTTGGAAAAAGAAAGGGAAAGCCAGAGGGGGAAGATGGAACGACCATAGATTTCCGAAGAGACAACCAAAGTTCATCAGCTCATGTTCTAGCATGGAACTTTTGCATCTGCAAAACGGAGGCTGAGCAGTTGATAGAGGAAAGGGAAAATATTGCTGGTTAGACAGAGCCCAAGCCGCTCCTCCGGAGACACGTGCCAGTGGCGTGGCCCTGCTAAAAACGCGGGAAGGACCAGGGCCCTCTGGTCCAGCATTCCAGGCCAACACGGTGGCCGGCGAGATGCCATGGGGCCCCAAGCCCTGGGCCCCGTCCTAGCAACCCCGGGGCCATCAGCGTGATAGGTTTCTCCTCCTCCGGCCATGTGTCCCTCCTCTTTTAATGTCGTGCCGTCTGGTGGCAGTGAAGTCCGTCGTTCAGCTCTGCAAGGGCTGGAGAAGCCCTTTCTTGGGACTCTCCTGCACCTCCTACCCATCAGCTGCCGGGGAACCTGGTATGAAGGCCCATTAAAACGCAACGAATTAAAGCTTCTGGGAACATCTGCATTTCTGCGTCTACAACCTCTAGGACTTGCAATCAAAGGCAAAAGCTCATTCATCGTGTCCTTATTTTTTCTCATCCTTTGCAGGCAGCACCTGGGAAATGCTTGCCCAGCACATTGGGGTCACAAGGTAAAGGAATGGGGGGGTCCGGGGGGGGCTGTCCTCTTGCAGCCACACAGCCCCTTGCAGGAAGCGTCAGCATGGAAGGAAGCTGTGCCTGGGGGCAGCGGACGGGGGGGCATTACCGAGCCTCAGTGCCTTCGCCCTTGAAGCAGGGTGTACGGGGGTCCCAGTCCACTCCTCCTGGGTCCCACGGATGGCCACGCCCCATTTCCCCGGCCACGGACGGCTTGGTGTGCCCTGGCTTTTGCCCACTGCCTCTTCCCACCCCCTCGACCCTCCAAGGTTGCAATGCCAGATGCTGAGGGCATGAAGCCCAAACAGACTGCCAGTTCTGCCCCCTCCCCAGAATGCATCACTCCAGATTCTAGTCGGCCCTCCGGCTGAAAGTGGGTGCCACATGCGTCTCTACACTACCCCCCTTAAGTGCCGCTTTCTCCAACTGGTGCCCTCCGGCTCCGCTGGGCTTCAGTTCCCATCAGCCCCAGCCAGGTGAGGGTCCAGAGGTGGGGAGAGGCAGCAGTGGGGCTTCATTCCAGGCAGCTGCAAGACACCCGTGGGGAGGAAGCTGCCCCCGGGGCTGGGAAGCCCTGCCTGCCCGCCCGCCTGCCCCCCGTACGACATGAGCCTTGCTCACTTTTCCAGCCTAAACCCCCGTGTTTTCCGACTCTCCCAGGCTGGACCTAAACGACATCCCCAATTCAGTCCGCTTGGTGGCCCCCGACCTTGGGATCCTGGTGGCCTCTGCCGTCTGCCTCCGCGTTTGCAGCCACCTGGAGCCGAAGCGGAAAGAGGCGGCCGGGAGCTGCAGGTTAGAATCCAGCCGGCTCCACGAACAGGTGAGGCGCTCTGTGCTGCTGCTGCAGCGGGCCAGGTTGGGGCTCGCCTGGCCCCGTTTTGCCCCCTCTACCTTCCTCCGTTTGCTAGCTAGTCACCTTCCATCTTTCTCAGGCAACAAGCCCCATCATCCTCACCAAGACCCTGCCTGTCATACCTGGGCCTCACAGGGCATCCTAAGCGCTGAATATATATTGGCAGGAAAATTTGTACGCGTAGGACAAATGCAAGCCATGGGACCCGAAGGGCTCTCAGACGTTCCCTTGCCAGCCGAGAGGAGGAGGAGGAGGCAGGATTTGCCAAGCTCCTTCACTCCGCTGCCTCCCTCCCTCGGATCCGACACTTTCCTGGCACCTCCAGGGGTGACTCACCAGCCTCCTCCAAGGCAGGTTTCCCACGTCTGGAGGAGGGACTGGCCGATCCCGAGTTGCCACGGAGACGCCCTAACAAACACCGAGGCTTCGCTCCGTGCTGGGCCGGGGGAGATGCCCAGGGATGCAGCCGGCAGCGGGGCCACCTGTCTCCTGCCGCCGGTCTCTCCGTGACATGCGCCGGCGGGCTGCAGGGAGCGTCCCCAGTGAGGCCGAGCGTGCGGGCGCGTCCCATGGGTCCCTTCGCTCGCTTGACTTTTGCACCCGCTGCCATCCGGCTTCCGTTCTCCTGAGAGGCTGCCCGGTCCTGCCAGCAGCCGAGGGCCCACCCGCTCTTTTGCAGGGGAGCCGGGAGGAGCGAGAAGGGCTGTGGGGACGGGCTGCGGCCTCGGGGGCACAGATCTGCTTTGGACGATTCGAGGGTCTTGCGGGGGCGAACGTGCCACCAAAACGGGACAGGGCTGTACCGCCCCTCCTGGAAATGATTGCACGGCTAGGCTTTTCCGACGGCGACCGCCGACAGGGCTTCTGCAGTCGAGCTGTCCCGCTCTCTTCAGCCTCGTCCTTTGTTCTGCCCTCCATCCCAGCTGCTCCGGGTGGGCTTGGCGGCAGAAGAGCAGCTCACAAAAACCCGAGCAGTGCAGAGTGTTTATTTCCCTTTGCTTTGCCGCTGCCCAGTAACTGGGCCATTTGCAGCAGTTCCCAAACAAAGCCATGTTGCAGTCGAGACGACCACAGACATTTCAGGAGTGCAGAAGGTAAAAACAGGTTGCAAATGAACAGCTAACTCAGTATTCAGTACAAAGTAGGCCTGTGACTATTGGCCATGAAGACGCTTAGATATCCGTGCAGAAGTTGGCACCAGCTGAGCTGCAGTAGGGAGATTATTCCAGAGCCGGGGGCCCTCCCCGAAAAGGCCGTTCCCTCTCGTTGCCCTTCCCCATGGGTGGCACTCAGAGGAAGGAATCGCATGCTAGGAGAGGTATTCCATCAGGTGTGCAGTTCCCAGCCAGTGCTTCTTCCGGCCCCCGGTATGTCCGCCCTGCTGGTGGTGGGCTACATGCGAAGGCATCCTTGCGGGGGGGGAGCAGGCTGTGGGGGCCTCACCAGGACGGCCTTTGCAATGAAAACTGCCAGTAGCAAATTGGAGGGTGGAGCTGGGGAGAAGAGGGCCAAAGCTTTGAAGCTGGACCCCTTTTCCGTGCCGCCCAGTCTGCAAAGGTCATTAACCCACAGACGCCAGCCTCTGAGCAGGCGCAGAGTGCGTTTCCACCAGTTTGCACGTGTGTGTGTTTTGAGAGGATGCAGCAATAGGATCTGTGCAAGGAGAAATGGTATATGAAGAGCGACATTGCTGGTGACAGGCTCTGCCCAGGTTTCACGGCTCCATTCTGCCCCAGGGCATAGCCATCCCGCTCCCTTGCCCACCTTCTCTCGTCTGCTCTTGGCTTACGGAGCAAGACCGGCGCTCCAGCTGGAAACTCCGAGATCAGGGAGCCCTTCCACGGCCTTTCCCCCGGGCTCCCCCAGGCCGACGGGGGAAGGGGTGGACCTTGCCCCGTTCTGCAGTCTCGGTGCAGTGGGTCTGAACCGGACTCGGAGCCCCTGGACGGAGCCTGGCCAGCCCGCGGGAGGCGGGGCCCAAATACCTCTGCCGCGAACGCTGTGCCAGGCTGGAAAATCGCTCGGGCGCTGGGAACCCAAGCCGGCCAGCCAAGGAAAACAGGCTGGCGGAATGCGCTCCCCACAGCCAGCTAATGAAATAAACAAGGCCAGGTGCGGGGGCAAGGGGCAAGCGGGAGGCTGGCGGCCGGGGAAGGGCCCTGCCCCAGCCGCCAGCCCTGCTTCCCGGCCGTCTCTCCCCCTCGGGACCGCGGAGCCTCCGTGGCAGGCTGCGGGAGGCTCTCCGACCCAGACCGGGGATGCAGCTTTGATGACTTCGCGTAATGCAATTCAGGTTCACAGAATCCGGCGTCTCCGGCAGTTCCGATCCTCCTTTGTGTGAAGCCGGAGGGAGATGCAGCGCTGGCCGCAGGCCATCAGAATTAAGTGTGCGATTTCTCAGGACGGATCAGCCTGTGCATTATTCATGGGTGCCGGAAGTGCCCGGAGCGCCTCTCGCCAGAGCAGCCTTCCCCAGCCTGGAGCCCCCCAGACCTGCTGGGCGTCACTTCCCGCCACCCGGCTGCTGCTGCTGCAGTCGGCAGGCCCGGAGAGGGCCGAGCTGGGAAAGGCGGCCCGGAAGAGTGTAGTTTGGACCCGCGTGTGCCGCTCGGTCACTCACTGCATTTCCCTTCCCGTTCAGGAAGAAGCGGTGGATGAGGCCCCGCCGAGCCCCACGGCTTCCGCGTGCGCCCCGGCCGAGGGCTCCGCGAGGCAGCGGGTGCGGCTGGCGGCCGAGCTCCGGAAAACCGCCCACTGGCTCTTGATCGCTGCGGGAAAACTCCTGGCCATGGTGCTGCTTGCACTGGCAGGTAGGTGCGGCGGCCGAGCGGCAGGCGCGCCCCCTGGCTCCTTCCCCCCCCGTGTGGCGGAGGCACCCCAGCTTTCACCCAGCTGCGAGTATCGTGCAGGCCTCCCCCGCCAACCGAACCTGCAGTGTGTCGGCCTGCAGCTCCCGTCACCCTCCCCGCATGCATGCCGGCCTGTTATAAGGCAGTTTCGCACAGTTGTTCTCTTCAAGCAGGGTTCTAGTCCTCATGATGGCTGCTTTGGCCAGTGTTCACCTGTCGCCTTCCCAGCTCCCCGCCTTGTAGTCTCTGTGCCGTGCCCAGGTCATCTCGGCGACGTTCTGGCTTCCTCCGCAGGGATCACCTTGCCCTCCGCCTTCTCCAGTGTGTACTACCTGCTGTTCGTGGCCCTCTGCACCTGGTGGGCCTGCCATTTCCCCGTCAGAGACGTGGCCGTCACCACCTTGTGCGTGGTGGTGGGTGTCTTCGCCGGAGGCCACCTCATCTGCCTCTATGCCTACCAGACCCCCTTCGCGCAGGAGCTCTTTCCACCTGCCGGCCTCTGGGCACGGTAAGTGGGCACGCGCGGGTGCAAGCAGAGCGTACGGGGACGCATGGGTGTGTTGCTTCACAGCCTGGGCGGAGGTGCTGGACCCCCAATCCCAGCGTTCCTGGCCATGCTGACTGGGGCTGGTGGGAGAGGAGGTCCAAACTACGGCTAGGGCACCTTGCTGGGGAAGGCTGGCAGCTTAGGTGAGGCACGAGGCACGGCTAGATGGCCTTTAGGTGCCCTAGTTCCCTGCATCTCTGCGCAGTCTGCTGGCGTGCCTTTCTCAGAATAGACAGTGCTACTTATCTCCACATCTGATTCATCAAGTGCCAGACGGGATAAATTAGCTTTGACTCTCTCCAGCCCCTGTTATTAAACCAAGAATTCATTGTTCTTGGTGTTTGGTCCTCGAAGGCACAGAGCAGACGGGCCGGGCCGAGCTCCGCTGTTTAATTGGCAATTCCGCCGAGGACCAAACAGCACGTGAAGCTGGGAAGCAGAGACGCGTGTTCCTGCGGTGGCGAGAAAGGAGAGAAGCCGGCTCTCTGCTGGGAGGAAAAGGGGTTGTTTAAGGATACGTCAGCTCAACTTTGTGAGGCCCAGCCTGGCACTTTAGAGAGTGGCCCTTGAAGTCCAGGAAGCAGCACCTGCGATCAAAGGAGAAAGAAACCACACACCTGAATGCAGTCAGTTTGCTTAGCTCTGTTGGATCATTATTCGCCCTAAAAGGCTCCTGGGCTTATGTTCTATCAGTAAGATCAAAAATTGTCCCGGCCTGGAGGCCTTCCATCTCATCTCAAGAGACATCATGAAAGGAGAAAGGGAAGGGGAGGGTAGAGGAAAAGTCCAAGGGGTCTCTTAGCCAGGCTTCCTGTCTTGTCTCATGCACTCCTTTATTTCTCGTGCAGCCTTTTCATCGCGTAATTTATTTCTAGCACTGGGGGGAAGTGGAGGCATCGTTTACATATAAGCACAAATGCACAGGCGATCCCATTTTGCATGGGTGATACTCCTGAGTCCTCTTCTCCATTACAAGCAAATATACACGGGGGCTTCTGTGCCCCAGCTGAGCACCCCTCCTCCCCTCCTGCAGTCTGGACTGTGTGAATAATTCCCTGATCTGAGCCGGTGTTGCCCAGGAAAGTGATGTGCTTTGACCCGTCCCTTCGCGACACCCGGGTCTCCCATTCCTAGAAACATTGAGTACAAGCCCCAGCTCGGCACATCCGCCCGCCTTGACTGGCTCGCATTCCACCCGCACCCACCCTGGGACTGGAAGAGGCCAGCTGAGATTGTCGGACAGAATCCGGCCTGTCCGGTTTCTCCTCTTTCTCCAAACCCTTTGAAACTCAAGGCGCTGGCTTTAAAGAGCAGCCGGAGTGCTCAGGGCCCCCCTGCCACCCGAGCCGCCTGTGGATCACCCGCCCCTGCCTGGCCAAACCTCCCAGCCTCGCGGGGGCCCCCTCCCGTCCCGCTGGCGCTCCACACACAGCGAGGCCGGCTTTGCAGAACACCTGTGCAAACAGGCGAGCCTTCTCCCTCTTTCAGGCCGGCTCAGGATCAAAGCAGGAGGCTGTTGCTGGCCCCGCCAACTTCGCGCCCCGATGGTCGGTCACCTGCGGGTGGAATGGGTGCTGCCTGCCCCGCTCGTCCCTTAGCCTGCACGATTTCCCGTGGGAAAGTCCTTTGGTTGGCAGGTGTGGCGTGGCAGCCTCCCCTTTCCCGCAGCTTTACCTGTGGCCCCCATGCCCTTGCGCCTCCCGGGCCCAGGCGGCATCCCCACAGGTGCGCGTTGCACAGAACACCTGGACAGTGCGAGGCTGGGTGACACAGAGCGTCCCTGTTTTCCAGGCGGTCCGAAAATCCGTTCAGAAACCGTTTTAGTATTTGTGTGTCTCACTCCTGTAATCCCTGCATCTGGGGCGTCCCCCATGCCAGGGGTTGTACCCTGCAGACTCCGTCGGGGGGGGGCTTATTTCCGGAGCCACCGCACGCGTAGAGCAGGTAGAGCAAGCCGGTGGTGTTTCCGAAGCCGGCGTCCGCAGTTTCGTCCCGTCTCCCCGCCACAGGCTGTTTGGCCTGAAGGCCATCGTCCTGCACGGGGGCTGCGGCAGGCCCAACGTGCTGGTGCTGAACGACGGCCTGCCCTGGCCCATCTACGCCAACCCCGGGATCCTGCTGCTGCTGAGCTACGTGCTGGCCAGGCTGGTCAGGTTCCAGCAGTTGTACTCCAGCGAGCAGGTGAGCGATGCCCCCGGTTGCTCCCCGTCCTCCTGCAACGCCCCACGAACCTGCCCATCCCCGCACCTGGCAGGGGGATCGTAGCTGGCTGGTTTCTGGCTGGGTACCAGGGAAGCTCAGAAATCGCCCCCCAGCCATGATTTTTCACCCCCCCCCCTTTTTTTGGAAAAGCAGAGGGATGCCGTGAGCTCAACCTCAGACTCGGTGGAGATGGAGAACTGGTCCATGGAGCGAGACGGCCTGGCCGAAGACGCGAAGGTGAGGAGGGCCTCCGGGGCGGCCAGGTGTGATGGCGGGGTGCCTCTTCCATGCCGTGGCCTCTGGCCGTATTCCCCCCCCCACCCCGTCCCATCCCTGCCAGCAGACGATCATGCTCCACACATCGTTTTGGACTGCAGCTCCCATCAGCCCCAGCCAGCCCGGTGGTCAGGGATGCTGGGAGTTGTAGTCCCGAGCATCAGGAGGGCAGTGGGTGGGGGAAGGCCTCTGAAGGCAACCCAAGACTCAGGAGGGTCCTGCTGCCCCGGAGTCGCAGCGTTGCCCGGGCCTCGGGCTCCCTGGAGCAGCCGAGCCGCCTGCTGAACCTGCCCAGCCGTGGCCACGCTGGGCTGCCCCGTCGCTGCTCATGTCCCCCCCCCCCCGTCTCCCTCACGCTTCTTTCCATGCGCAGCCCATGCTGGACGAGGCCGAAGGCGCCGCTGGCAATGCTGAGGACTCCGCCTCCGCCGTGCACGTGTGCAGAGAGGCCGGCCAGCCAGGTGAGGGCTGCTCTGGGGTCCCGCCTCTGCCCCTCCACCTTGCCTCCATCCGGCCGGCTTGCGCCCGCCTCTCCCCGTGGCACAGTGCACCGGCTCCAGCCCCACGCGGCTGCAGAGCGCACAGCAGCCTTCCGCAGCTGGGTGGCCTCCAGATGCCGCGGCTCCGATTCCCAGCAGCCTCTGCCAGCCTGCTCACGGGCCGGGAATGCTGGGAGTCCTAGTCCCCACCTCCTGGGCTCTCCCGGGCATTCAGACAGTGCGGAGACCACGACACAGGCAGGGTCTCCCAGCGCTCGGGCATGACTCCGGGGCATCTGGGGGGCGGTAGCCCAGCCGCGAGCTGCTCTGAGCGCCATGCGGGCGAACCAGGGTGGCCGGACCTCCGGCCTCAGCTTGACCTGCAGTTTCCTGCACAGCCACACCTCTTTCCATGGCCAGTTTCTGGGCTTGTGCAACTTTCCCCCACTGGAGAAGGATAAAAGGCAGTGGCCTGAGGGGGTGAAGCCAGAGCGGGCGGGAATGTTTCTCTGCTTCGGCTGCCTCTCCCTCCCACCCGGCTGCACCGAGAGCTTTCCAAGGTCCAGTTCGTCCCTCCGGCTGGGGCAGACACGCCTCCAGGGCATGGGCAGAGAGGCTGGGCAGCCGCGCCGGGGTGACGGCCGGCCGACTGCGGGAGTGGAAGGGGCTTGGCTCGGGCCAGGTCACGGTGCCGCAGAGCAACGGGGTGGGTTGCTGCCCGGAGCAGGGCGAGCTGGCTCTCGCCCCGGCCTCTGGCTCCGCCAAAAGCATCCGGAGGGCTTGGCGTGAGGCAGTGCTGCCTCCTAGCGGCCGGCGCCCCTGTTGCTGCCGGGGCTCCTCGATGCGAAGCGCCTTCCGCACCACGGGCCGGGGCCGTGGCGGCACCGCGAGGCTTCACGTGCCGATGGCCCCGGCCCGTGGCCGCTCTCGTGGAAGGAGCAGCTCCGACGTGGCCTTGAAGGGGGAGCACCAGCCAGGACAGACCACCCCGCACTTGACAGACTGGGCACTGGCTCTGCACCCGGGGAGGTCACAGGAGGATCAGCTCCGTGCGTTGGAGAGTTCCATCTTTCTTTCTTTGTCTATCGGAAGCCCTTTACCCAGTTTTTCAGCCGAAGGGGCTCCTGGGAAGATTTACACACCATCAGTAAAAGCAAGCCCTTCAGGCTTACAGTCTAAAAAAGCGAAACGTGGCAGGAGAGGAAAACTGGGCGGGGAGGGCAGAGGAGTGGAAGGGGCTGCTGCGATGGCCCTGCTTCTCGTCTTGTCTCCTCCCGCTTTTACCTGCCAGAACGGCGGCTGCCACCACCGCCAGGTGAGGGAGCCATGGGATGCAGGCAGCTCTGCTCCGGTTTCACGCATCTCGGGGCCAGTGCAGCGCAAGGTGGCCGAACGGCGTGACTGAGTGCGGCGGTGCCTCTCGTTGGGACTAACACAGGAAATCCCGGGGCCAAATTCCCGGCCTCCTCGCACGAGGAAGGAGGGGCATCCCAGAGAGACGGTGCCGGTCGCGACCCGGGGCTGGATAACGGGCGGCTCTCTGTCGGCCATTCAGAATGGCATTTTCCCTACCTGCCACCCCCCCACCCAGCCCCGCTTCCGCCTGAGTGGCTGCACGTGCTCCAAACCCCCCTCCTTGTAGTCGGCAGGAAACGGGCGCGTCACAAGGAGAGGCCGGCGCTGCTGCATTCGCTGGGCCACATGGTCATGGACCAGAGCTACGTCTGCGCCCTGATCGCCATGATGGTGAGCGGAGGGGGGAGCCCGGGCCGGGTGGGGGGTGTTGGGGCGGCCGGCAAGAGGAAGGGGGCCTAGCGGAGGGACGGCAGACGCGGCCGCCAGTGCGGCGCACACGCGCTCTCCTGGGGAACCGGTTTCCCAGGGAACGTCCCCTGCCAGCCCTCCGTTTCTCGAGGAACGTGGCCGGAGATCCTGGCCTGGATTCGCAGCAGCAGCTGGGGCTGTGGAAGCGGAGAGAGGCACCCGAGAGAAATACGGCCGCCCGTATAGGAGTAACGGCCGAGGCCCATTTCAGGTGCTGCCATAGGCAAAGGGCTGAGAGAAGCCGGGGCATGTCCTCCTCAGAAGCAAAACAGTCCTCGAAGACTAAATCACGGTACAAGAAAACCAGCGTGAGAGTTGGAAGAATTCAGAAAACGCACGACGGTTTAGACGACAAAGCCGTGCTCTGGTTATAAAAAAGGCAGAGATGCCGCCATGTGCTGCTGAATGCCTTGGAGAAGGGGCCCACGTTCACCCGCCCCTGGAAGGGCAGCAGAGGTGGCATCAGGCTCCGCAGGGAGGCCATCCCGCCATCAGGGGGCCACCCCGAGAAGGCCCTTCCCTCTCACGGTCCCCGTGGAAGCAGCACTTGCAGGAGGGCCTCAGGCATTGGCGGGGGGGGGGAGGGGGCCGTCTAGGCCCGGACCGGCACATTGAGCCAGGCTTGCAAATACGCAGGCACATGAGCACGAGCTGGTGAGCCACGTGTGGCGCCTCTGGCCCGGTTGGCTACCGCGGGCTGCAGCTCCAGAGCCATCTTCGAGGGCAGGGTCCTGGCTGCACTTCCTCCGGTGCCTCTGTGACCCTGCCTGCCCGCCCGGAGCGTGCGCTTTCCTGTCATTGCTGCCTCGGTGGGGCCCGTGCCCTGAGGAGCCGCCAAGAGACCCCGTAATTCACTAAACAGCCCTGCTCCGCCGGGCCAAGGGCGTCGCACAGTGCGTTTGTCCCCGGCCCTTTTGCAACGGCGATGCGAGCCTCGTGGCCCTCGCTCGCTTGCTCGCTGGCCTCCAGCTCCCATTCACCTGAGCCCGCAGAGGCAGCAGTGAAGGATGATGGGTGCTGTGGGCCCAGACACCTGGAGGGCCCCACGTCGGCCACCCTCGTCTCTCGGTGGAGCAGTGCCCCAAAGCAGGGACTGAAAGGCAGGGCACTGGGGCGGCGCCTTTTCGGCCGTGGAGCCCCCGTCCCCGCTCAGCCCGCGCCTCCCGCTGTCCCTCCCCAGGTGTGGAGCATCACGTACCACAGCTGGCTCACCTTCGTGCTGCTGCTCTGGGCCTGCCTCATCTGGATCGTGCGCAACCGGCACCACTTCGCCATGCTGTGCTCGCCCTTCATCCTCCTCTACGGCATCGCCCTCTGCAGCCTGCAGTACGTCTGGGGCATGGACTTGGAGCCGGAGCTGCCTGCCAGGGTCGGCTTCATGCCCCTGCAGCAGCTGGGGCTGGTGCACCCCCCCTACCCCTGCCTCTACCTCGGAGCCAAGGTATGCACCCCGGAGCATCCCGTCTTGCGCGCCAGCCTGAGCGGCCTTCCTCTTCTCGCCACATGCCCTTTGCTCCACTGCTTTGCTCGCTCGCTCTCTCTCTCTCTCTCTCTCTCTCTCGCTCTCTCGGGCAGAGGCAGGCAGCTGGTGCCCTCTGCTTCTCTTGGACAGCAGCTCCTGGGGCCCCAGTCTCGGCGGAAACATCTGGAAGGCACCGCCTTGCCTCCCTCAGCTCTACACCGGGCCTGTCATTTGGGGGATTCCGCCCTGAGTTTACAGAGTGGCGTCCTCCCCCTGTGTCCCCTTGGTCCTCCATCCCTTCCAGCCTTTCCACTTTTCCTCGCAGGGCTTGATCTCCAGACCCTGCACCCTCCTGGCTGCCCCCTTTGGATGCATCCCAGTTCCCCATGTCCTAACCACTGTTCTGTTCCCATCTTTCCCGGCAGCTCCTCTACACCCTGACCTTCTGGCTCCTCGTGCGACAATTCGTGAAGGAGAAGCTGCTGAAAAGGAAGCAACCGCCCACACCGCTGATGGAGGTGACGGTTGGGGACGCAGGTGAGAACCGGCCCAGGAGCGCTGGGCTCGCTTTCGGGAGCAGAGCTCTCCCCTGGTCCCGCGTGGCGATTCCTCCCTCCCACTGCTGCCTCTTCCAGGTCCGGGCCGCAAGCGGGACGTGCTGAAGGTCCTGGGGGCGTACGTGACGGGCTTCTACGCCAAGTTCTGGATCTTGGTCTGTGCCGGCATGTTCATCGTCGTCAGCTTTGCCGGACGCCTGGTGGTCTACAAGATCGCGTACATGTTCCTCTTCCTCCTCTGCCTCGCCCTTTTCCAGGTGGGGCACCGACTGGCTTGGAGGGGGCGGGCGGCCCTGCAGGGCCAGAGCGGCGGGTGGTGGACTCAGGTGCTGGTTGGGAAACGGCGGAAACTGCCTTCAGGAGAGCCGGCCCATCCGGCCCAGTGCTGGCAGCACTGACTGGCAGCAGCGGCGGCAGCTCTCCCTCCAGGTTGCAGGCAGGAGCTTTTGCAGCCCCCGAGGGGCATGCGGCCCCTCCAGGAGGCTTGGAGAGGCACCTGTGGGGACAGGGGGCCAAATACGGGGCCAGCCCACTGGCCCTTCCAGCCCAGGGCTGCCGGCCGTGCCTGGCAGCCGTGGCACCTGTGCTCTGGGGCCTCCGTTGCCAGCCCGGCCACCCGAGGGGCTTCTGTTGCCCGCGGGGGCCTCTGACCCGTGTGCCCCCCCCCTGCAGGTGTACTACAGCCTCTGGCGGAAGCTCCTGAAGGCCTTCTGGTGGCTCGTGGTGGCCTACACCATGCTGGTGCTCATCGCGGTGTACACCTTCCAGTTCGAGGACTTCCCCATGTACTGGCGCAACTTCACGGGGCTGACGGACGAGCAGTGAGTGGCGGCCTGGCCGGGCGGCGGGGGTGCTCCCCGGGCAGGGTCCCCGGGTTTCTGTGAGAGGAAGGGGAGCCCGTCTGGCCCAGCTCTCCGTCCCCGCTGTGGCTGGGCAGGGGCCCCAGGGGAAGACCCCCCCACGTGCGTCCCCCGGGGCCCGCAGGCTCAGAGGCTGCACTTCTGGCTGACGGTCTCTGCCGCTCCTCCAGGGACCTGTCCAGCCCCTGTTGGAGTCACGGTTGCTCTCGGTGGTGCCGGGAGCCCCTTCCTCGTGCTCCGCCCAGCCGCTCCCTCCCGGTTCGCTCCTCGTCCTGAGCCAAAACGGCCCGGGCCGCAGCCCCACCGTTCTCTCCTGCGTCCCCGGCAGGCTGGGCGACCTGGGCCTGGAGCAGTTCAGCGTCTCGGAGCTTTTCTCCAGCATCTTCATCCCGGGCTTCTTCCTGCTGGCCTGCATCTTGCAGCTGCATTATTTCCACCGCCCCTTCATGCGCATCACCGACCTGGAGGACGTGCTCGCGCCGGGGCCGGGTGGCCCGCAGCCGCTCGGGTAGGTGGTGGGGGTCCCCCTCTGCCGCAGGCCCCCGGGACTGTGTCGCTCTTGCAGGAGGAGCACGGAGCTCTTCCCAGCTCGGCCCTAGAACAGCGATTCCCCACCGCGCTCCCTCCATGTGCCTCGGTTTACAGCCTCAGTATCTGATGTTAAATATAAAGCCACCCCTTATATCAGGTTAACAATCAAAGTGCTGGGAGAACAAAAAGGTTTTCACCAGATGCCGAAAGGAAAGAAGCGTTGGTGCCAGGTGAACCTCTCTGGAGAGTGTTCCGCAGTCGGGGAGCCACCACAGAGAAGGCCCTGCTCTGGGTAGTCACCCTCCTGACCTCTTTCAAGGACGGCCCCCAGAGGAGGGCCTCTGACTCCGATCTCAAGGGGCAGGAGGGGGGAAAATGGGTCGGAAAATGGGCTTGGCTGTTCCGTACTCAGAAAATGTGTCTGCCAAGTTCCAGGAATCCCTCCCTTTGAGTCTCTCTGCCCCGCACCCTGTTTGCAGTAATTTCTCCTGGCTCTTTAGGGGCGACGAGGCTAGCGGAAGCGAGTTGCTGTTGCATCCAGAGAATGGAGAGGCAGATGAGCATGAACCAGAAGGAGCAGCCGATGCCACCTCTGAAGGTAAGCGCAAGTTCCTTGCACCAGGTCAGGTGGGGGAAGCCCCGCAGGGGGTGTCTGCAGAATTTGCTGCCCCAAAGAGGCGATCCCAGAACTTGTCTTGCCTGTGCCCCTGCAGGGCTTCTCTTTTCTCCAGTAGCCAGGTGCAGGGTCAGAGCAGGCTCCCGCCTCCCTTACGGGAAGGAGGACTTTCTGTCCTGGTCCGCAGCCCCCTTTCTGAATGGGCCTGTGACCCATGCGCCCTCCATGTGCCCACAGAGGGGAAAAAGGGGCAGGGAAACCGCCAACACGTCCTTTTGAGTCGCTGCTGAAATTTGCATGCTCTTCATGCGAGGCAGCAAGCGACCTGGGCTTTGCTTAGGCTTTTTTATTGCAAGGGGGCACGGACTGGCCTGTTTCCCCGCCTGGGGCTTTCCATGTGAACCCAGAAGGTCGGGGAGGGTGGCTGGCTTACCATCTTTAATGATTATGGAGGAGACAAAGTGCCTTCTCCCATCCCTCGATTATGTGGCCGAAGTGAGGAACTCCTGGGCTACTCCGGCACTGCCCAGTGCGGGAAAGTAGGCGCCCCCTTTCTTCCGGCCCCGTGCGCAGAATCCTCCCCTTCCAGGAGCCTTTTGCTCCAGGCTGCGGTTTGTGGATCTCGTGGCTCCAGTAAAAAACCCACAGCCCAGATTATTTCCCTCAAGCCTGGGATCTGTCGCTCTGGCCGAACAGCGCCGCTCCCAGCAGCCCCTCACGCGCTCCCCATCTCCCGCTCTGCAGGGGGGGCGCCCAGCAAGTGGGGGCTGGTGCTGGAGCGCCTGATGGTGCTGGGGGCGAGGTTCTCCGACATCGTCAGCCGCGTCCGCGTCTTCGTGCTGCGGCTGCTGGAACTGCACGTCCTCAAGCTGGTGGCGCTGTACATCGTCTGGGTGGCGCTGCAGGAGGTGAGGAGGTGGGGAGACGTGGAGGAAACGGGCGGGCGGGGGCTCCCTGGGGGGGGCGAGAAGGAGGGGGGGGGGGCGGGGGGGCTGGGCTTGCCACGTGAGCAAGGGCGGCAGAGATGCCCCGGGGGGTGGGGGGGTCGGGGCCCCAGGGCCCGCGTCTGGCTGGCGCGGCTTCGAAGAGGAGCCACGCCGTCCTTCCCGTCCCCGCCACAGGTGTCGGTGATGAATTTCCTCCTGGTGGCGCTGTGGGCCATCGCCCTTCCCTACAGCCGGTTTCGCCACATGGCCTCCTGCCTGTCCACCGTCTGGGTTTGCGTCATCATCGTCTGCAAGATGCTGTACCAGCTGAAGATTGTCGACCCTCAGGTGTACGCCAGCAACTGCACTGAGGTATGGAGATGCCCAGGATCGCGGAGCCCGTCGGTGGACGCACCTGTGTGGGTCGGGGTGTGCGCGGGTCCCGGGGCGCCCCGCGGTGTGGATGGTGCCTTTGGCCAGTCTGGGCAGCGGGCAACCAGAGAGGCAAACCTGGGGCTGGATCTCGGCCCTGGATTCTTCTGTGCCGAAGCAGCAGGGCAATGCACCTCGCTGGCTTTCGAGACGGAGTCGGGTGAGTTTTTGAGTGCGCTCACAATACGCTCAGAATGCTTTGATGGTTCTTGCGCTGCTGCAGCCCTAGCGGCTGGGCCGGGCCGGGCCGGCCCCTTTCCTGTTCGGAGTAACCAGGAAAGGCGTCAAACGTAAAACCTCCAGGATCACACACGCCTTACACTTACCGATTGGTGCAACCGTGCCGGAAGCACCCTGCACAGTTGTGCCGCAGCAGCTTCGAAAGTGTGTTGTGGAGCTGGAAAAAGTTCAGGAAGGGTGGCTGAACTGGTGAAGGGGCTGGGACAACTTCCAGCGGGGAAAGGGTACAGGATCCGGGCTTGTTTAGATGGGAAAAGGATGAGGAAGAGAGGACGGGATAAGGGTGTGCAAACTGCGTGGTGCGGAGAGAGCCGAGAAGGCCCGTCCCATAAGCGGCTGGGTGAGTTTCAGGACAGATTAAAGTACAGTGGAGAATGTGGAGCTTCCTCCTGTTAGACGCACGAGGCCGTCGTCTCAAAAGGCAGATTCATGGGGGAGGAGGGGGTAGCCGTGGCCGCACCCCGACAGCCAGGGGCTCCCCACAGGACCACGGCCGGTGCTCCCAAGTTGCGGCTGCGCTTCTGTCCTGGCGGAATCATGCGCCATCCGGTGGCCTCTTCGTTCGCCTGCCACGAGTCCAGAGGTGTCTCGTCGGGGATGCCGCGGGATCGCAATGCGACGAGCGAAAGGACACCGTCTTTGTTTCCTCCGCAGCCGCAGCCCAACAACACCAACCTCTTGCCAGAGGAGATTGGCAACTCCACCCTCTACCAGGGCCCCGTCGACCCGGCCAACTGGTTCGGCATCCGGAAGGGCTTCCCCAACCTGGGTTACATCCAGGTGAGCAGGTTCCCAGGCCGCCTCCCTCCTCCTTCCTCTTCTCTCAGCCGCTGAGCTGTTTGGGAAGGGAGGGGCCATTCCAACCGGAGCGGCCCCACATGGGAAGCTGGCGCTCCCGGTCCTTCAGGCACACCTCCCTGGCCGCTTTGTTGGGACGGGGTGGGGTACACGGCCACGGCAGTGGATGCCCCCAAGGGCCCCTTCGCAGCCGCCGGCCTTTTCGCTTGCCTTACAAACTGAAAAGAACAAGTGGCGCTTATCCCATGGACTGGTTATTTTCAAGGAAGGGCGGTTGGAAGAGCTTAGAACCGAACGCTCCTGTCAGAAAAACTCACCTCGTTTTTACGTCACTTTGGGACTCTCTGGCCAGCTGAGTTCGGCTCCGCCTCCGTGGGCCAAGTGGCTTTGCCGTTTTAATTGCGAACAATTAGAGAATGATGTCAGCCACTCAGACGGCTTTGGCCCTGGGGTGATCTAGAAATGCAGCCAGTCGATAAACCCGTCTTTCCGTTGCCCCGCTGCCCACCTCTCCTCCCGCCTCCCCAGAACCACCTGCAGGTGCTGGTCCTGCTGGTTTTCGAGGCCGTCGTGTACCGCTGCCAGGAATACTACCGCAAGCAGCACCAGCTGGCGCCTCCGCTCACCCACACCATCTTTGACGAGGCCACGCACCAGAACGTGGACAGCGGCCTGAGGAGCTGCGTGAAGTACTTCCTCAACTACTTCTTTTACAAGTTCGGCCTGGAGGTGAGCGCCCTGGTGGTCCGCGGCGGCCATTTGTGCGAGCGCCCGGGGGAGCACTCGGCACCCCAAAGGGGCTCCCCCAGACGTTGGGGGCTCCCTGCCGAATTGCTTCGGACCCCCCCGCCTTCGCTGGGTCCAGCCCGGCCCGCACGCTCCCTTGTCGCCCCGTGCAAGTAAAAGGCGCCGCCTCTGCGAGGCGAAGGGAGAAGGCCGTGGCTGCCCGAGCCCCGCTCGCCACACGTCCCCCCGGGAGGCCGCGTGTGCCGCCGGGAGAGCCCCTCTCACCGGCCCCCCCCCCCCCCCGCCCCTTCCTGCCCAGATCTGCTTCCTGATGATGGTGAACGTGATCGGCCAGCGCATGAACTTCATGGTGATCTTCCACGGCTGCTGGCTGGTCGTCATCCTGACTCGCCGGCAGCGGCAGGCCATCGCCCGGCTCTGGCCCAAGTACTGCCTCTTCCTGGTGCTCTTCCTGCTTCTCCAGTACCTCCTCTGTGTCGGGATTCCTCCGGTCCTCTGCCTGGGTGAGCCTGCAGCTCCGGGGGCACCAAGGGCAGCCGCCCTCCCTTCTTGCTGACCTGGAAGAGTGCCCCCCCCCCGCCACGCTCCTTGGGGTCCGTCCTTGCAAAGCGGGGTCTACCCACCACTGGGGGTTGTACCTCACCGCAGGAAATGGCGGCATGTTTAGTCGCCACCTGTCGCCGTGAGACCATCTCGCAGGACACCTCAGGGCAGAAGAGCTCTCCAGTCCGCCGGCCAGGCCGGCTGGCGAGCATGCAGAGGGCCGTGGGCCCCCCACCCTGCGGTGGCGGCCACCTTGCAGAGAAAGGGAGCGAGAAATAGCAGGCCCGTTCCGGATCGCCAGGCATGCCTCTTCACAGGCGGCAGAGACGGCTGTGTGGCTCAGAGCCCCCGTGCTGGGCAAGCTGTTCCGAAGGCCTGGTTCGCGGGGGTGCGGGGGTGCCAGGTGGCTGGTCAGCGGGTGCCCATCCCGCTGGGGAGGGTCGCCCGGGGGCCCCTCTCCGCGCGTCGGTGACGCGTGTCTCTTGGCCCTCTAGACTACCCCTGGAGGTGGAGTGGCAGCATCCCCGTCAACTCCGTCCTCATCAAGTGGATGTACCTCCCGGATTTCTTCATGAGGCCCAACGCCGTCAGTCTCATGAGTGAGTGCCCGCGAGAGCCCGTGCGCTCTTTTCCCAGGGTCCCCTGCGGGGCTTGCTGGACTCCTGCGGGACCACCAGTCGGGGCTCCCTGGAGCGTGGGCGGGCCCCCCGCGGCTTGGCTTGGCTTGGCTTGGCTTGGCTTGGCTTGGCTTGGCTTGGCTTGGCGGGCCGGGCCGTGGCACTTTCCGTTCAGCACCAGGGGCAGCTCTTCGGCCGCGCTCTCCCCGCCGGGCGGGTGTGCCGACCCGTGTCCGTGCGAGGGCCGGATTCCATTTCCGGAAACCCCTGGGGCCGATTCCAGGGATGGGCGGGGCCAAAGGGAGAAGAGGGGGGCCCAAAGTAGCCCCAAACCAAGAACGTTTTAGCATAACACTCGCTCATGTTGCGTGTCATTAAGCTTTGCGAGGGACATTCCAGACCGTTGGAACAGGGGGAAAACATGGATAGAGCTAGTGGGCCAACTGGGAGCAAAGCGGGCCAGGAAAAGGGGTGTGTCCATCTGGAGGATCCTGGACTTTGAACTGGGACCCCAGGCAGGGCGGACTGGGACCTGGGGTCTGATCCTGGCATCGCCTGGGAAAGCCCAAGGACTTGCTGCCAGTCGGTGCCGGCAATGCCAGGCTGGACAGGGATGGTCCCGCTCCTGCGAAAGCAGCCTTCCCGTGGGGTCCCCGGCGCTTGCTGAGGCGCCCCTTGGCTTCTTCCAGGCGACTTCCTGCTCCTCCTGTGCGCCTCGCAGCAGTGGAAGGTCTTCGCGAACGAGCAGGCGGAGGAATGGGTGCACCTGGCCGGGGACAACAGGGAGCAGCCGGAGCTGAAGCCGGGGGAGCCCAACCCCGTGCCCAACTTTGTCAACTGCAGGTGGGTGCGGAAGAAGCGCCTGCAAGCCTCCGCGGCGCCCGGGCGCATCCAGCCAGGGAAGGCTGGGCCACGTGGAAGCACAGCCCTCCGGACCACAGCCGGGGAGGGGGCTGGTCCCCCAGCAGGTCTCAGTCAAGCAGCCTCGACTCGCAGGGCTTCCGAAGGGCTTTGCCGGAGCCACGGGGGAGCAACCGCTGCCCAAGCTCCGCTCTGCCCTGCTGGATTCCCGCTCCAGCCCGGCTCGAGCGGTCTGCCTGCTCCTCATCCCGGTCTCCCCCGCCCCAGGTCTTACCTGGACATGCTGAAGGTGTGTGTCTTCCGCTACCTCTTCTGGCTCGTGCTGGTCATCGTCTTCGTGGCGGGCGCCAACCGCATCAGCGTCTTCGGCCTGGGCTACCTCATGGCCTGCTTCTACCTGCTGCTCGTCGGCACCGCCCTCCTGCGCAGGCCGCGCCGCGCCCGCCTGGTGCTGTGGGACTGCCTGATTCTCTACAACGTCACAGTCATCATCGCCAAGAACATGCTGGCGGTAGGGGTTGCCGCGGAGTCCCTCTCGCAGGGGCCCCTCCGTTCCTTGTGCGGCCCCTCGTTCCTCAGGTCTGCCAGTTGCGTGCCGTGCGGGTTGCTCTGCGTGCGTGCGGCGGCAAGCGAGGGCCTGCTCCGTCATCGGTCGTGGGTGAGAACGTGCCCCGCGCTCGCGGCGCCCCTTTCCTGCCACTCACGCAGGGGCCCCCGTCCCCTCTTCTTCCCCCGCAGCTCCTCTCCTGCGTCTTCGTCCAGCAAATGCAGAGCAGCTTCTGCTGGGTGATTCAGCTCTTCAGCTTGGCCTGCACAGTCAAGGGCTACTACGACCGTGAGTGCCCGCCACCGGTAGAGCTCAAGCTCAAACCGCTGGTCCTACCTTTTCTGGGTCGTGTCGTGAGAAACGTGCATTCGATACTGCTGCTTGCTTCCGGTGCCAAGAATCGAATTTCGGTTCCGTTGTGTGAATACAGCCATGTATTGAATAACACCCCCCCCCCCCCGTTTTAGGCCTTGGATGCAGCAGGGGGGAAATGGGAACTGGGGAGGGGCCAAGGCTCAAGCATCCGGAATATCAGGAAAGTCAGCTGTGACTCTTGAGATCGGGCACCTTGCGCAGGATTGCGCCTTGGGCATCTGCCCCGTTTCGGTTTTCTTCCCCTCAAGTCCGTGCACCGGCTGGGATAAGAGTGCCCAAGACGGGGCTCCCTGGTCTTGCAATTGCATCCCAGAAGAGTTACGCCCTGGGCTGTCGCTGCCTGTGTTGACGCGAGAGCACGCCGAGGCCTCGCTGCCGCCTCCCAGCATCTGCTGACAGGGACGGTCACTTCTCCACCCAACCGTCGAGCCGGCCCTGCTTTCCACTTGGGCCCTGGATGGGGCCTCTGAGTTCAGGGGTGCAGCTAATCCGTTTCAGGCCCTGGGCTTCCTGGCCCTGTGGGGTCCCCCGTTACGGCTTGCTCTGAAGCACTTCTCTTGTTTGCACGCCCATCCCCGTTCCGGGCTTTAAATCATTCGTCATTGTCACTGAGGTTCACGCCATCGTTTATTCTGAAGCGTCTTGGATGACGGGGATTCAGTCTGCTTCTGAGCTCCTGATATGTGGGTGGAACAAAACTGCCAGGCCTGGGGGCCGTTTCTGGAGCGCTCTGCGCATGTGCAGCTTCTCATTCCAAAGCTGGGCAGCCGGAGCTCTTCCACGACCCGAGGAATGGAGCAATGGAGTGGCGCGGGGCAGAGCCGGGCCGTGTGTGTGTGTGCGCCTGGGACAACCCCCCCCCCGCCCGGAGGCCTTGCTCAGAGCCCCCCTCCCCTCTTCTTTGCCAGCCAAGGCTGTGGACAAGAGCCAGGACTGTGCGCTCCCCGTGGAGGAGGCCGGCATCATCTGGGACAGCATCTGCTTCTTCTTCCTGCTGCTGCAGCGGAGGGTCTTCCTCAGCTACTACTTTCTCCACGTCATGGCCGACCTCCAGGCCTCGGCCCTGCAGGCCTCCAGGTGGGCACCGACGGACGGGTGATGACGCCGCGTGGGCGAGCTGGGCCAGCGGCCGGGATTGGGCTCAGCCCGGCATGGCGCTCTGGGCCCCGCAGCACTGCGGGGACGCAGCCGGGGCTGACGCTGCAACCCCAGAGGGGCAGGCGGGGCGGAGGGGGAGGAGAGCCGGCTCCGGGCTTCTTGCCCATGGCAGCTTTTGCTTTGAGCTTCCTAGGAGCTACCTGAACTGCTGTCTCCACGCCCTCCCCCCAGAGAGCTGCACCACCATGGACAGTCCCCAGAAAGCTCTGAAGAAGCACTGCAAGGAATATGGAGGCCCCTCACATCGGAGGCGTCTGTTGGCCTTGCCAGCAGCCGGGCGGGGGGGCAGAACTGCTGGCCCGAGGACGGAGCCAGCCGGCCAGGGGTCCCAGCCCAGCCCTCTCCCCCCAGCACCGGCCCTTTCCCCGCTCGCTAACCTCTGGGGGGCTCCCAAGGTTTTGCACGTGGCCACCGGCCGGGCCTAGTTTGAAGTGGGTCTCCTGAGGCCTAGCTACCGGCTGTGGAAGCTGGATGCTCATGAGGACTAGTGGTTCTGGCTCCACCGCTTTTGCCTTCGCCCATGTCTTCCTTCTCCGAGGCTGAGTTGCGAGGGTGTCGACACCTCCACAGCCAGTTTTGGGTTGCCCAGGAGCCAAGCTCTGGCTGAAATGGACCTTCGGTCAGCACCGCAGCAAAGCTCTTCTCGGTCGGGAGCAGGAGGCGAGGCCCAGGGGCTGCGCCCGTCCTGGCAGAAGCCCCCCCCCCTTCTGCTGACCCCCTTCTGTCTCCCCGCAGGGGCTTCGCTCTCTACAAGGCCAGGACGATCAAGCGCATGCGCTCCCATCACCAGGCGGAGAATAAGTCCTTGGCTCAGCTCAAGCGTCAGTGAGTCTCGGGGCAGGGGCTGTGGCTGGGGCGGCGGGGGGGCCCTTTCGCGCTTTGGGACAGAGGTGGGGCGGGTGGAGGGTTGCCCTTGCTTGGGAGAGGACAGGAGGAACCGTGTCTGCTTCGAGAAGCGGGGCCGAGGGGCAGCCCGGTGACGCTGGACGCAGGGGCCTTGTGGGTGCGCCGGGGCGGCCTCGCAGTGCTGGGGACCCGTGGCGCTTGCTCGTCTTCCCCGAGTACCTGGGACAGCTCCTTGGGGTGGGGGGCTTAGAGGCAAGAGAGCAGAGGTGGGTGAAGCCGGGCCCCACCCGCGACATCGCCGTGTGCCTGCAGGATGGAGCGGATCCGGGCCAAGCAGGAGAAGTACCACCAGGAGCAGCTCGCGATGGACAGCAGAGAGGCTCCGGAGACAGACAAGCCAGGTGCGGGGGGCTTTCGGGGCTGGGGCGAGGAAGGGGCCCGCGTCCCAAGAAAAGGACGCCTCCCCGGGACACCGGTGCTCCTCTCCGCCTGCCCCTCATCAGCCCCAGCAGGCCGCTGTGAAGGGGGCCGCAGCCCCCGAGGCTTGCGATGGCTTCGTGTCCTTCGTTAAGCATCCCGTCTGAGCAGACGGCAAGGGCCCCTCGTCTTCCGCCTCTGCGTAGGCCAGAGCGTGTGCAGCGCCCCCCACCCAGGACACACCCTCAGCCCGGGCGGCTTGCTGCCCCCAGGTGTCCCCCAGCCAGGGATGGTGCCCACGGGGGTTCCCCGCGCAGCCCACCGCTCCTCGCCTCTCCCCGGGCGAAGGACCCTTCTCCGTCCAGCAGCTGATGGGGGGCAAGAGCCATTCCTGCTGCAGAAATGGGGGAGGCTGGCAGGGAGCTGCCCAGCGATCAGCCTCGCGTCCTTCTGAGGTCCCTCCTGCTTCCACCTGAGCCGACGGCGGAGAGACAAATACCGGCACCCATGCCTGGGGCGCTATTCGGGGAGACGGGCAGAATCTGTTCCTAATTGCCTCCGAGCGGGCCAGGGCAGCAGTGGTGACCCTAGCCGCCCCCCCCGAGCCGTGTGCCACCCTCTGCTGTGTGTGGGTAGTTTCTCGTCTTTAACTGAGTGGCGTCCGCTTTGCTGAGGCAGCTGGAATTTGGACTCCCAGGACAGGTGGGATGAGGGAGGGGAGGGGAGGGGAGGGTCAGGGCATCCGTGCTCAGCTTCAGCCAGCTTGTCTTCCAGCCCGTACTTTGCAGGCCTCTCCGGCTCTGGGCGTGTTCCCGGGTCCTGGTTGCCTCTTCTCCTGCAGTGCCTGCCTCCACCGTGGCTTCATGAATGGGGGAACGTGGCTCGTTCGCTCCTCGCCAGCCCCTGGCTAGGCACGGTGGTTTCTGGAAGGCACGGGAGGCGGGCCGGAGGGCCGTCTTGGCAGCCCCGCAGGGTAGGAAAGCTGCCCCCTCACGCTCCTTCTGCCCCGTTCCACAGAGGCAGGTGCCAAGAAGGACCGTTCCCACCAGAGGAAGCACTGGTGGCGCCCCTGGCAGGATCACGCCACAGGTACTGCCCGGCCCCGGCTTGGGGGGCGCCCGGGCGCACTAACCTGACCCATCTCTCAGCCACCTAACTCTTTGCTGGAGGGAGCACGAGCGAGCGAGCCCTGCGGGGTGGCGGCCCGCTCTGCCATCTGCATGCCTCACATCTCTCGCGACGCCCTCGGTCTTGATGGGGAAGCGGCTCTCACGCCCTCTGTCTCGTGCTCTCTGCACAATCCTGCCACGTGCACCCCTTTCCGGCACCTCTGCCCCCCAGAGTCGCCTGGGCTCTCTCTAGCTCACGCCCAAGAGTTTTCGGCAGTGGGGAAAAAGAGGCAGGCAAGCAGCTGCCAGTCCGTGGGGGCGCTACCAGGTGCAGCACAGGCCTGGCTTCCCAGGCAGCCGTAGCCGGATGGGCAGAGCGCCATGTCTCCGAGGGCACCATTGCACGGATGGAGGCGCGAGCGCCCGGCCACCCGACCGCCCGCCCGTGGCCGGTGCCGGCCGCCGGTTCCGTGGCTCCGGCCATACAGGCTTGTCCAGGGTGACCTTCTCTGCTCTTCTTTCCTCCCGCCCAAGGAGACCCGCATTCTGATGAGCGCAGCCCAGAGCTTCCTGCTTTGCTTCCCAGCAAGGAAGCAGATAGAGGGCACTACAGTGGTAATGCTCGCATGACCCATGCAGTTCAATGTGCTCACTGCAGGTTTGCGCATCTTGCCATCCAAGCCCTGCTCCCTCCTCAGTCCTTTCCGACAGGAAGCGCCAATCTCTGCATCAGCCACGGGGCGAGGACACTGCCAGTCGCTTTCGCTGTGTGTTTGAAAATGTGCATCTCCACTGATTCGATTGCGCAGAGTTAGAAGCATATTTCTTCGCTGTATTTAGTTTTATATATTTATTTATAGCATTTTTATGCCACCCCCGTCGCAGAAAGCCTCGAGGCTTTCAATTTCGTATTGGAAATACAAAATTGTATTTCCAGTGCAAAATTGTATTTCAATTTTGGTGCACTGTGCAGTGAGGAAAACGGAGGAGGGAGCGGCGCTCGTGTGAACGGGTCCATACTCATCTCGTACATTGTGTGTCTCGTTGCGGAAGCGTTTCGGGTCTGCTTACCAGTGTGAAGGCATTCATTCCCACCCACCCGACATTCGGCAGCGGAAAGCGTAATATTCCCCGTGCTAAGAAATACTAACGGCACCCAAGAGCACTCAGGCGATGTGGGGCGACGGGGGGGGGGGGAGCTGGCGAGGGTCTGCAGCACCCTCGTGGGGTGTGGGGGCATGTCTGGAGTCAGGGTGCCACGGAGAAGGCCCCGCAACCTTGGCCCATGGGCTCTGCATGCACGGTGAGATCCCAGGGGTGCGTCCCCCCAGAGCCCCCCGTAGCTTGTCCTGCTAGTGGATTTTGCCAGGCCGCTGCTTCCAGAAGGTGCTCCGGCGCCCCAGGAATAGACCAGGGCAGTGTCCCTGGGCCAGGCAGAGTCTGCGATGGGACTGTCGGTTTCAGGAAGGAGCGCCGGCGTTGGAGCCGGGGGACTTGCCCGTGCGACTCCTGGCAGAAGCGGATGGCGCCCGTTCTCCACCCTCACGCCAGCTTCTCATGCTCTTTGCACCCGCCTGTCTCTTTGCTTTGGTTTCGGGGGTAACGACGGAGCGGTGTTTCTCTGTCCATGCTCAAGGGCACTCTTTCAGCCGTCCTTGCACTGCACTCTGCCCTTCCCTTGCATGCCCCGGTTCCAAAGTGAGCGCCACCCCCACCTCTGGCGGGGAGAAGGTGAGATCGGGAGAGCCCCCGCCTGAGCGGCTGCTCTTTGCGGGGTTTCAGTGCTGCACTCCGGGGACTATTTCCTGTTCGAGACGGACAGCGAGGAGGACGAGGAGTCGGTCCTGGAGGACCAGAAGCTGCCGAAGCAGAGCGCCTTTCAGGTTAGAGCCCCCATCCCCCCCCCCCGCCGTAAAAGGCCCTTCTTGGGGGAAAGGAGCCCAGGAAGGCGACAGAATTGGTAGGACAGGCACCGGGACGGGACGGAGGAAGAGTGAACTCTTCTGGTCCGGAGGCAGCCTTTCCCCCTTCCCACATCCCCAATGAGCGACTCGAAGGAAGGGAAAGCTCTCTGCACGCGCCAGTGCTGCCCCCATTTTGGCTTCCTATTTGGGCACTTCTTGCACTGCGTCGCCTCTTCTGTCCCTCTCTCGCTGGGGCTGCACCAGCGAGAGGACTTGCTCTGGCCCCGGGTGCCGAGCACCACCCCTTTTCCCCTTTCCCCCGTCCTGTAACTTGCTGACTCTCGGCCGCCCGTTGCAGCTGGCGTATCAGGCCTGGGTGACCAACACCAGATCCGCCCTGCGTGAGCGGCAGCGGCAGGAGCGAGCGGAGCGAGAGATGCAGGATGCTGAAGGTGGGTCCTGCCCCGTCCCCTCCCAAAGGATTTGCCCCCGGTCCTTTCTCTCAGGCCAGCGTCGTGCCCAGCCAGAAATGGGCTGTCTCCAGGCACTCTGCACTGCAACTCCCAGAATCCCCGAGGCCATGCTTGTGGGGATTCTGGGAAATGTGGTCCGAAGCACTGGAGGGCACCTTCTGAGGCCGTGCTCAGTCAGTGGGAGCGTTAGAGCCGCCCTCTGTGCCCTGCAGGTGATGTGGAGGCCCGGCAGGTGGAACTGAAGGACCAGGCGGGCAGCAAAGAGGAGGAAGAGGAGGCAAGCGAGGAAGAAGAGGCTGTTCCAGGTGGGCTGCCCTCTCGGGCAAGGCGCTCAGCAAGGAGCGGGGTGGTGCGTTGTCTTGTTTCCCGGAGTCGGAATAGGAGCTCCGCGAGGCAAAACCGTAAGAGGGAATGCTGTGCCCGTTTGTGCGACGGCAGAAAGACGGCCGCTTCTCTCTGCCTCACCAACTCGGCTGGCAAAGGAGGCGCTTCTCGGGGCAGGGAGAGGAAGTGGCGCCGGACGGCAGGACGCTCTGCCAGTGCTGGAAGCGGCCACCCAGCAGAGGGACAGACTGCAGCGCTCCTCTCCGCGGTCCCAGGGGCAGAACCGGACCTCTGGGGGTTGAGGCCCAGGAGGGACTCTCGCTCGCGTGGGGAGCTCCCCGTCTGCCTGGCTGCATGGCCCAGGCGTGCTGGGACTTGGGGGACCCTTCTCTGCCTGAACATGTGCAGGATTCTGCCCCCAGACGGGTCCTGGAGCACAAATCAGTGGCGCGCACCAGCCACGGAGCGAAGGGGCAGCTCCGTGGGAGCCTGCTGCGGAGGGGCGGCTGGCCGGGGGGGCGGGGGTTGCCCTCGCCCTCGCCCTGGCCCTGGCCCTGGCCCTGCTTCTGGCTCCCGGAGCCCGCTGGCTGGCAGCGGCCTGATCCGGCGCACCCCCTTGCCTGCAGGGAGGAGCACCGTGGTGCAGCGGGCGCTGAACATGCTGCGCTTCGTCTGGCTGCTGTGCCAGGCCACGGTGGACGGGCTGACCCAGTGGCTGCGGGCCTTCACCAGGGAGCACGAGCACATGTCCACCGTCCTGGGCCGGGAGCGCTTCGTCCTGACGCAGAAGCTCGACCAGGTCAGCCCCCGGCCTCCCCCCGAGGGTTGGGGCCACGCCTCTCCCCGCTGGGGGCTCACCCGGTGATGGCGGC